AATAATAATAATAATAATAATAATAATAATAATAATGACAACAATAATAATAATAACAATAATAATAATAATGGCAACAATAATAATAACTTTATTGATTAACGGATAACCCTTTGCTAGAGCGAGAGAATAATATACAATACAGGAAATGAAAATTAAAAACTTAGATATAAAACTGAAGAAAGAAAAATACATGAAATTTAATTAGATTGTTTAAACGATAGAAAAGCCTGTAATATCACGAAATAGAATAGGCGGCCAATTGGAAATCGTTGGCTGCGTCCACGTGAACATTCGATCCTCCTGGCGAAGCATATTAAAAACATTTCGCTAATTAATATACGTGCCGGTATCATTAATTAAATATTTAACTACCGCAGAACACAAAATCGATGTGCCGATATCGTTTAATTCAGTTCACAACCTGTTCGTTACGTTAACGCGTAACAAGCCACATACGCCTGCCACCTGACTCTTGTATTTTGTTCCAAAACGATTAAAATAGCAGACTTCCTCGCTCAAATTTGCGTACGGATTGCGTGTACCAGCTACGATGTGATGTCACGCTGATAAGACCGGCGTAAACACAATTTATCTTCGGCTTCGGGTCCGAGATATATCGAGTCCCACCTCTTTGGATCTTTTTTTGTACTATATAAAGAGCACGGCTGCTGCTATATATAATATATAATCTTTTTTTTCTGTTACTAATTGACTATAATTCGTATCCTCTCGGTCCGATAAAACTATTGCACACATATTCGGATAACTTTTAATTGGAACGGTTTCGATAATCTTCAGTTCGTTATCGAGAAGGACAGTTTCACGATACGACCAATTGTTCAAATATGAGGGAGAGTCTACGATCGCCGAGGTCGAAGACAATCGTCTCCCAAAGTCACAAGCTTCATTATCGCGATTTTTATGTAATCATTGTCGCGACGCGCGCAACTTCTCGCGCCGTCTCGTCTAACTGTATCGGTTTCGTCTACGGTCGATTTGCACGATGCCATTTTTAAGAATCCTTTTAGTGTCTCTTTGATGAATTTGTTAGTTTATGACTCGGCTACGAAGAGTAGCGGCTGGCTTTCCTCTGGGAAAGTCAGTGAAGCAGTACAGTAAATTCTCCCTAATTGACGCTCAGATTGTACACAAAAATGGACAATTCGGGAAGAGAAGATATGGTTACTCGGGCCTTGCGGCTCGTTTTCATAGTTACCGATTGTCAACAACTATAAAAACGGGCCGCGAAGCTCGAATAATATCTTCTCTTCCCAAATTGTCCATTTTTGTGTACCGTAATTTTCCCTAATTCGCGCTTAGATTGCGCGCAAAAATGGACAATTCGGGAGCAGGTGATACGATTAGTCGAGCCTTGCGACTCATTTTTATCGTTGCTGACGATCGGTAACTGTAAAAACGAGCCGCAAGGCCTCGAATAACCATATCTCTTCCCAAATTGTTCATCTTCGTGCGCAATCTAAGCGCTAATTAGGAAGAAATTATTGTACAATCCGAGCGTCAATTAGGAAGAATTTACGCTCTCAATGGCACTTGACGTGGCCCAGGCCAGCACAGGGCACCAAGGGTGCTCGACAATTTATTTCCCGGAATTTTCTTGGGGCACCACGACGTCACCGTTGTTGGCGTCATACCGTCGAGCCACTCTCATCACCTCAGCCCCGATAGGCCTCTGTAATTGGTGGGCCCAGTGTCCCACTATATAGAAAATTTTTATGGAGGGGCATTGTACCTACGGTTTCAGCTGACCGATGAAATTCGTATTCGAGTCTTGTCATCCATCATTAGAGACTTGTCATCCGTCATTAAAATTTTGTTCGTCACAGTATATGGAACTATTTATTTTAAATATTTATTTATTTTAAATTAGTATTTATTTTAGATTAGTGCTTCGATCATTTCTATTACTTTACGACACTTTCGTTAAACATTGGAATCAAGAGAAGACGTAAGTACAGTAAATTCTCTCGAATTTTCCTTCAGCTTGCAAAGAAAAATGGACAATTTGGAAAGAGGAGCTACGATTATTCCAGTCTCGCACCTAGTTTTTATAATTGTTGACAATCGACTATTATAAAAATGAACCACGAAACTCGAATAATCGTATCCCATCTTCCCAAATTGTCCATTTTTCTCTGCAAGCTGAAGGAAAGTCGATTGCCAACAATTATAAAAACGAAGTGCGAGACTCGAATAATCGTATCTCCTCTTCCCAAATTGTCCACTCCTCCTCTGAAGGAAAATTCGGGAGAATTTACTGTACTCGTAGATCCGTGAATATTACCCGCAAAACTGTGCATACCCGTTACAGTCGCGATTCTCTTCCGAAACGCAACATCCAAATTCGTGCAATCATTGCGGTCGCAGCATGTTGCAACGTGCACCGTGATCTTGCGTGTTCGCAAATACCATAACGCCTCGTCTTAGATCTATTTACGACCAACAGCCGGACGAAAACTCAACTGCACCACGGAAATGCAGACTCTCGTTATCTTATCAGCTCGATGCTAATATACCCGTTTTTCTTTATATGTTGTGAAGGTATTCGTTTCCGATGCAAACAAGATTTTCGTCAGTCGGCTTGCACTTTGAGAGAGGTTATCATGGCGGTGGAAATGGGTGAGCAGGTGCCCGCGAAAGTGACATGGCCGCAATGGATCGCTGGTATCGGAGGTAAACGAGCCTGATCATTTTAATCAATGCGCGCAGAACATTGCTATTTAGCTGAAGACGCGCGTCGATTGCTTCTGCTTTATTTTTCTACGACTGTCGCTGCATGTCAAGCAAAGCGATCTAACCTTGACAGAATCTTCACGAATCGGAAGAAGTAATTACATTTTCCCAAGTATCTCTGCCTCGGTAATTATAGCAATTATAACAGTTTCTGTGTGAAATATAGTTGTTCCTGACGAGAAAATGTGAAAGATTGTGTGCTTCTGTTAATTCGGTGCTGATGCTTCAACATATTTCAAGATCATCGTTGTCTTTCTAGAAGACGTATTTTGAATTAGTGTAACTCCATGGAAATGATGAAATTAGCTAATCGTGTGCGTAATTGTACCGTTGCATCATTCGAGGCGAATAGCACTCCAGCACGTGTCACGTGCACTTATTAATCAGTGACACAGTTGTACTGATTGTAACGAGCAACGTTTCAAGCAGTTCAGCAGCTCTTCAATTAAAAATCATTTAAAGAATATCTAATTGATTTTCACGTGGTGTTCAATATTTCTTCCAACTGTAGAATCATGGTTTATCGAACTTCCGTGTGTGAAACATTTTTCCATGAATAAAACAGTGACATTTGTTAGAAAGTTTCCAACTTTACGTGACAGTCTATCGGAAATGCGTTGCGGAAAACAGGGAAACGTGTATCATAAATGCATACATGTTTCATAAATTCATACATGTTTCATAAATACAATAAGTGCACCATAAATTTGACCCTGGATTTAATCCTTCGCAATCGAAGCCATTTTAACTTTATGCGGTCGAAGTCTCGGATATTATCGACAACGCTATGTTTTCTATTGTATAATAATGCAAAATTGCGAAAGAATAGGAAGCAATTCTTCATTTAACAAAAATACATGTAGTTTAATAATATCTGTAGATGGTTTAGATGCAGATTGCTATCAGAATTATCGAGTTGTG